TGCTGAGCTTTCAGGTACAATTGATTCTGTCACTTAGGCACTGAGCTTAGTACCCAATAGTTTTTCCACCCTTGCCTCCTTCCTTCACTTCCCACTTTGGTAGCCCTCAGTAAGTATTATTGCTATCTTTATGTCTATGAGTACCCAGTGTTTAGTTCCCACTTATAAGTAAGAATATGCAGTGTTTAGTTTTTTGTTCCTGCATTAATTCACTTAGGATCATGGATATGGTTTTTGTTTTTAATTCTATTTATGTGGTAAATTATATTTATTGATTTGCATGTATTGAACCAACCTTGCATCTTATGAATGAAGCCTACTTGATGATGGTGAATTAGCTTTTTGACGTGGTGCTGGATTTGGTTTGCTAGTATTTTGTTGAGGATCTTTATGTCTATTTTTGTCAGAAATAGTAGCCTGTAGCTTTTCTTTTTTTCATTGTGCCTTAGCCTGGTTTTGTTATTAGGGTTATGGTGACTTCATAGAATGAGTTAGGGAGGAGTTCCTCCTTCTTGGTGTTTTAGAATAGTTTCAGTGGAATTGCTGCCAGCTCTTCTTTGTATGTCTGGTTGAATTTAGCTGTGAATTCAGCTGGTCTGGGGCTTTTTTTGGTTGGTAGGTTTTTATTACTGATTCAATTTCTGAACTCTATATTAGCCTGTTGAGGGTTTCAATTTCTTCTGATTCAATCTTGGGAGATGGTGGGTTTCCAGGAATATATCCATTTCCTCTAGATTTTTTAGTTTGTGTGCATAAAAGTATTATTAATAGGCTTAGTATCTTTTACATTTCTGTGTGGTTGGTTATAATGTTACCTTTGTCATTTCTGATTATTCTTATTTGAATCTTCCCTCTTTTTTCTTTGTTAATGTAGCTGGTGGTCTATCGATCTTGTTCATCCTTTCAAAAAAACACACTTGGTTTTGTTGATTCTTTGTATTTTTGAGTTTCAATATTATTCCATTCTGCTCTGATTTTAGTTATTTCTTTTTTTCTGATATCTGTGGGGTTATCTCTTGGTATGAGGTTAGAGTGTTAATCTGAGGTCTAACTTTTTGACATAAGCATTTGCTGCTATAAAATTTCCTTTTAACAACATTTTTGCTGCATCCCAGAGATTTTGCTATGTTATGTCTGTTTTCATTTATTTCAAAGAATTTTTTGATTTCTGCCTTGACTTCATTGTTTATTCAAAAGATATTCAGGAGCTAGTTGTTTAATTTTTATGTAATTGTGTGGTTTTGAGAGCTGTTCTTTGTATTGATGTCTATTTTTATTTCACTAAAGTCCAAGATTATGCTTGATGTGATTTTTATTTCTTAAAACTTATTGAGACTTGCTTCATGATCAATCATATGTTGATCGTAGAGTATGCTCTGTGTACAGATGAGAAAAATACATATTTTGTGGTTGATGAGTGGTGTGTTCTATAGATGTCTAGTGGGTCCAATTGGTCAAGACTAAAATTTCAGGCCAGAATTTCTCTGTTAGCTTTCTGCCTCAGTGATCTGTCCAATGCTGTCAGTGGGAATGTTAAAGTTCCCCACTATTATTTTTGGCTATCTAAGTCTTTTGGTAAGTCTAATAGTACTTGTTTTATGAATTTGGGTGCTCCAATGTTGGGTGCAAATATTTTTAGAATGGTTATATCTTCTCATTGAATTGAAACCTTTATTGTTATATAATGTCATTCTTTGTCCTTTTTTTAATTGTTGTTGGTTTAACATCTGTTTTATCTGATGTAAGAATAGAGACTCTGTTCTTTTTTGTTTGTTTTGTGTTTGCATGTTAGATGTCTCTGCAACCATTTACTTTGAGTCTATGGGTGTCATTACATGCAGTATGGGTCTTTTGAAGATAGCAGACAAATGGTTCTAATTTTTTAACCAACTTGCCACTCTGTGCCTTTTGAGAAGGTCATTTAGAGCTTTTAAATTCAAGGTTGATATTGATATGTGAAGTTTTGATACTATTATAAAGTTGTTAGCTGCTTGCTTTGTAATTTCTATTGTGCATTGCTTTATATGATCTGTAGGTTAGGTATTTAAGTGTGTTTTTGTGGGAGCATGTATCATTCTTTTGCTTCCTTGTTTAGAACTCTCTTAAGGATCTCTTGTAAGGCTGATCCTTTGGTAATGAATTCCCTTAGCACTTGCTTATCTGGAAAATATTATTTCTCTAATTGTGAAGCTTAGTTTAATGGGATATGAAATTCTTCGTTGAAATTTCTTTAAAAATGCTGAAAACAAGCACCCAATCTCGCCTGGCTTGTAAGATATCCACTGAGAAATTCAGTGTTAGTTGATGTGTTTCCCTTTATACATGATCTGACCCTTTTCTTTAGTTGCCTTTAAGATTTTTTTATTAGCATTGAACTTGGACAATGTAGTGACTATGTGTATTGGGAACACATTTTTTAACCATAATAAATGTATTCAATATGTCAATACTTTATCCCAATCACTGCCTGCTGATCCTGGGTCTTGACCAAGCCATATGTAGCTCTAGAGGTTATGAGACAACTGGGGTGAAGTTATATTTTCAAAGTAGCTATGCATTAACTATGTAAATTATACACAAATATATGATAATTGTAAAAAATCAAACATTAAAGATAAAAGTAAAATTTCCTCTTGGGACCATCTCTCCCATATATAAAGTCTCCTTTGTCAACAGCTTTGTGTATATATTTTTAGATATTTTATTATATATTTTCATATATATATGTATCTATAGAAATATGGGATATAATTCTGTGGAGAAAATTCTGGACCAATGATATTCTATGCATTTTTTGCAAATTGCTTTTCTTACTCAACAATAAGCTTCAAATATGTTTTGTATCTAGACATAAAGTCTGCATAGCCTTCCAGGGGGAAAGAAAGATACACAAGAGTATGTTTACCTAGCACATTGCAACAAAGTATAAATCAAGAAATAGATCAATTAACTATTTATCTGCTGAGAAGTTCGCTCAATAAACCAATTAACATAGCCAGAATATCCCCAATATTTACAAAGTTAAAAAAGTATGCTTTTAAATTTCCAGTGGGTGAATACATTACAATGAAAATTAGATAATATCAAAACTCAGCAATATATCTATAACCATATTTCAATGAAAATTTATAGATTTAAATGTATAAATGGTAAAGGTAAAAGCAAGAATTAAAAAATAAGCAATCATTATATAACAGCTTAAAGAGAAAAAAACTTGATTCCTTGAAAGAACTAAAATGAAGTTAAAATTTTTCAAATAACACTAATGAAACCAATTAAGAGGTATAAACAATCAATATCAGGACTGAAAAAGAATAATAATTTAAAAAACTTTAGAAACTACAGCTAGAAAGAGGACATAATGAAAAATTTTATATTAATAAATATGAATATTCAGTGAATATGAAAGACTACTAGAATGGCAAAAGTTACAGTTAGTGACTCAATGAAAAACAAATTAAAATATTCGTATAACTAACAAAAGAGTTGTATCTGTATTTTAAAAACGTCTGAGAACAACCACTAGCTCAGTAGATTTATCTGATAAATTCTAATATTGAAGGAGGAAATAATCTATTTTTTTCAAACAAAGCTCCAGTCATTTTATAAACCAGTATAAACCTGACACAAGAAAACTTTTGAGAAGCTTATTGTAAGTGAAGAAAATTAGAGACCAGACTCACTCATGAACTTAGATACATAAATTCTAAACAAATATTAGCAAGACAAATCGGGGCTTATTTTAATAATGTAAACTTCACTTTGTTTTTGAAAATAAAACAATCTTATTCGCCACAGTAAGAGAAATAAGGACAAAATTTATGCTAGGTCTAATAAATAAATACAAACCTTACTGTAAAATTAAAACATCAATTTTCTAGAGCAGTGCTCTTCAACAGAACTTTCCATAATTATGGAAGTATTCTTTTGTGCCATACAATACACTTTCCACTAATCATGTGTCTGTTGAGCACTCAAAATGTGGCTTATATGACTGAGTACATTAATTATTAACTTTATTTAATGTTAGTTAATTTAAATTTAAATAGCTACACATGGCTAGTGGTTATCATATTTAACATTGCAGCTCTACAATCTCTAGTTTTTCATTTTTTCACAAAGAAGTTAAGTGGAGGCATGGAGAAAACAGTAAACATTTGTGATTTTATGAACCATTTTTGAAATTCATTTTTGTTTCTATGCATGAATAAATCTGGCTGATATAATTTGTTATAAGATCAATAATATAAGAAAATGTTTAAAGAGAGTGCTAGTTAATAAGGTATCTAATAACTGTTTCCTCTAGCTTTTGGCTCCATAGGAATATCATTAAAATTATATGAAATATAGTAACGTAATACATTCCTTTTTTAAAATTTCAAGTTTTATTTTAGCTACAGGGGGTACATTTGCAGATTTGTTATACTGGCAAATTGCACAGAGGTGGTGAGTGTAGTACTCAACAGGTGTTTTTTCAACTCCCTCCTTTTCTCCCCCTCAAGACAGTACCTTTATTTTACAAGTTACTGAATGAGATATTGATTTCTATAAATTTCATATAAAGAATGGGATTATGAAAAATCTGTGAATTTTAGAAAAGCTTTATACTTTGTAGTTTTGTTTTTTTTTTTTGAGACGGAGTTTCGCTCTTGTTACCCAGGCTGGAGTGCAATGGTGCGATCTCGGCTCACCGCAACCTCCGCCTCCTGGGTTCAGGCAATTCTCCTGCCTCAGCCTCCTGAGTAGCTGGGATTACAGGCACGCGCCACCATGCCCATCTAATTTTTGTATCTTTAGTAGAGATGGGGTTTCACCTCGTTGACAAGGACGGTCTCGATCTCTTGACCTCATGATCCACCCGCCTCGGCCTCCCAAAGTGCTGGGATTACAAGCTTGAGCCACCGCGCCCGGCCTATACTTTGTAGTTTTATGTCACAGTTTTATTTGATGGTACTTAATTATATATGATTAGCACTTACCAATTTTTTTTTTTTTAACAGAACTGTACACATAAATTATGCTGTGACCCTACATCATGTAGAATGAAACGTAATGTGCAATGTGGTTCCGGAGAGTGCTGTTCACAAGAATGCAAGGTAAGTGGCAATTTATATCTGATAATGGCTCAGAGTCAAATTTTTTGAAATACTTGTTTCAAGGAGATGGAAAACATATCAGAAACATTTTCAGCCCTTGCCACCATGTTATATCCAAGCAACACAAGACCCACTATCATACTTAAATCCATTCAGTAATCTATCACTCTCTGTACATAATGCCTAATGCTTCTTCTCTCCCAGCTTAATTTTCCAACTCAATATATCAGTTATCGTTACAATCATTTGGTCTCTCTTATTGACACCATTTAATGAATTCCTGGTGGACAAGAGATAGAACAAGATGGTGGAATAGGACTCTCCAGTGATGGTTCCCTCACAGAAACATCAATTTGAATAACTGTTTATGCGTGAAAATACCTTCATAAGTGCTAAGGAAGCCAGGTGATGAAATGGCTCCATTGTCTGGGTTATATACCCTGGTTCTTTGTCACGAACAAGAAAGAATTCAGGACACGGACACACATGAGGAGTGGGTTTAGGAGTGGAAAATTTAATAGAAAAAGAAATGAGAGAGAAAAAGCTTTCTTATAATGAGAAAGTGGGTCACCAGAAAGGTCTCCTGTTTCCTGTAGAACAGTCAGTCTTGTACAGAGGCTTGAGGGGGCGGTGATTAATTTATATAGGGCCCTGGGAATTGGTTTCGCCAGGTGTGCGGTTTACATTCCTCGGAAAGACTGGGCCTCCCACCCTAGTCTTCTATTATGCAAACGCAGCCTCCATCTGGCGGCGGCCATGATACCTGTACACGTGATTTTACTTGAAGGCTGTCACGATACCCATAAATGTGGTGACAAAAAAAAAAAAAAAAAAAAAAAAAAAAAAAAAGCAGGAGACACCATATTGAATGTACCTGGGTACCAGGTACAGTTGCCAGGGTTGACAAATCAAAGCTTAGAAGGACCTGCGGCGGGCCCACTTCAGCCGTCTTTTTGCCTGTTTCTCTCAGCCTGGTACTGTGCGCTCAGCACAGCACCACGGAGACCTGGGGCAATCAGGTGTCCTATATGAACCCAATAGCAGTGGCGAGATCAAGGGGTCCAATCTGGTCTTTAGGGCCAACAATACAGGATTATCTGAATCGACCAAGGCCTATCTGGGAAGAAGTAATAGAGCAACTAGAAAAGAAAAAGAAAGACTCCCAGGTTTTGGCTGAATTTGAAGAAAAAAAGCATGAGAACTGGAAGAAAGAATTAGAAAAACATGAGGAGAAATTAAGTGGAAGTGAAAGCTCATCCAAAAAAAACAAACAAACAAACAAACAAAAAAAACAAAAAAAAAAAAAAAAAGAAAAAAGAAAGAAAGAAAGAAAAAAAAGAAGATATCTGGTAGGTCTTTTTCATCAAGCTCTGATTCTTCCAGCAGTTCTTCTGTTTCTAAAGATGAGGATAAGAAACAAGGAAAAAGGAGAAAGAAAAAGAAAAACCATTCACATAAATCTTCTGAAAGCTCCATGTTAGAAACTGAATTGACATGTATATACAGCTTCATTTACAGCTTAAAATTGTTCATTCATTCACTAATTCAGGAAATAGTTTACACCACACTATCTAGTGGCAGATAGTAAAGAGAATAAACATATAAACAAACAAACACTAAACAAGATAGTTTCAGAGAGTGATAAGTGATTTAAAAATAAAATAAAACAGGACAATAGATAGAAAGTGAGGGAAGAGGGTATTTTAGCCAGAGTAAACAGGAAATATTTTTCTGAGGAGTGACATTTGAACTAAACCTTAATGAGACTTCAGGGGATAAATGAGGCGATAGAGAGATCCTGAGAATGGGGTATGCATAAAAATGTGGCCTCTTTTGCTCTAATTTTTTTTTTTTTCTTTTGGAGACAGAGTCTTGCTCCATCGCCAGGCGCCAGGCTGGAGTGCAGTGGCACAATCTCGGCTCACTACAACCTCTTGCTCCGGGTTCGAGCAATTCTCCTGCTTCAGCCTCCCAAATAGCTGGGACTGCAGGCACGTGCCACCACACCCAGCTAATTTTTGTATTTTTACAAAATAGACAGGATTGTTTTGCTCTAGTTTAATGACTAATAGAGAAACAGTGTACCGGTTCTAGTCAATGTGACTCTTCAAATTATTCAGCCATGATTTTTTTTGTTTTGTTTTTTGAGTCAGATTCTTGCACTGTCACCCAGGCTGGAGTGGTGCGGGACCTCGACTCCCTGAAACCTCTGCCTCCCAGGTTCAAGTGCTTCTTCTGCCTTAGCCTCCTGAGTAGCTGCAATTGCAGGCATCGGCCACCAGGCCCAGCTATTGTTTTTGTATTTTTCTTTCTTTTTTTTTTAATTGCATTTCAGGTTTTGGGGTACATGTGAAGAACATGCAAGATTGTTGCATAGGTACACACATGGCAGTGTGATTCGCTGCCTTCCTCTCCTTCACCTATATCTAGCGTTTCTCTCCATGCTATCTCTTCCCGACTCCCTACCTCCCCCCGTCCCTCCCCTATTTCCCCCCAACAGACCCCAGTGTGTAGTGCTCCCCTCCCTGTGTCCATGTGTTCTTATTGTTCAACACCCGCCTATGAGTGAGAACATGCGGTGTTTGATTTTCTGCTCTTGTGTCAGTTTGCTGAGAATGATGGTTTCCAGGTTCATCCATGTCCCTACAAAGGACACGAACTCATCGTTTTTGATGGCTGCATAATATTTCATAGTGTATATGTACCACATTTTCCCTATCCAGTCTATCGTCGATGGGCATTTGGGTTGGTTCCAGGTCTTTGCTATTGTAAACAGTGCTGCAGTGAACTTTCGTGTGCATGTGTCCTTATAGTACAATGATTTATAATCCTTTGGATATATACTCAGTAATGGGATTGCTGAGTCAAATGGAATTTCTATTTCTAGGTATTTTTTTAGTAGAGACGGGGTTTCACTATGTTGACCAGCCTGGTCTTGAGCTCCTGACCTCGCAATCCGCCTGCCTCAGTCTCCCAAAGTGCTAGGATTACAGGCGTGAGCCACCATGCCCAGCCCCATGTTTTATTTTTATTATTATTATTTTTATTTCAGTGTTACTGATTGAGAAACTAAAGTATGTAGCTAACATTTATTTTCTAAGTATGGATTCTCTGTCAAAAATGTCAACTCAAATCATAATTAGGTAAGATGATTTGGAACTGTATTCTAAAACGTTGGTGACTGCATATTTTCACTTGTATGTGGGAGTACACATGAACACAAATAAGAAAACAGCAGACCCCAGGGCCTAGTTGAGATTGGAGGGTGTGAGGAGAATGAGGATCGAAAAACTGCTTATTGGGTATGATGATGATTACCTGGGTGACAAAATTATCTGTGCAGCAAATCCCTGTGACACACAATTTACTTATGCAACAAATCTGCACATGTGCCTCCTGAACTTAAAAAAAAAGTTGGAAAGGAAAAAAAAAATGGAGATGTTAAACTAAAAAAAAAAGGGTGGTTGACTAATCAAACAATTTTTAAATTGATTCCTGTTTTAAAGGGGATAAAAATGATTTCATTTGCACATGAATATCAGCTCCTTGAATTTACCAACAGATTTGCTATAGTGTAGGAGAAAATTGTTTACTGGACTGAGTCGATATGATGTGCTCCACCATAATTTGCTGCTCAATTCTAATGCCAGTTTCTTTTGAGATGAAATATTTCATGTGCTCTTTCCAGAGACAAATCTCCTGATAGAGCAACTATATAGGATATTTGGTAAAGCTCTGGCCAGTTTGATAATTCACTACCTAAGTCCCGATTATTTCACTGGTGGATTCTAACAAATATTTAAAGAAGAGATAATACCAAAATACTCCACAATCTTTTGTAGAAAATAGAAGAGGAAGAAACCCTTCTAAATTTATTTTATGAGAACAATATTACCTTGATACTAATGCTAGACAAGGACATCACAAGAAAAGAAAACTATAACATCACTCATGAATATGGATGCAAAAAAACCTTCAAAAATGGCAAACAGAATCAAGAAACATAAAAGGAAGTATCCACCATGACCAAAAAGGATTATCTCAGTAAAGCAAAAGTGATGTAATTAACATAACACATCATACTAATATAATAAAGGACAAGAAAGTACAAGGTAATCTCAAGTAATACAGAGAAAATATATAACAAAATATAACACCCATTATAGATTATTAACAAATTCTAAATAGAAGGGAAATTCCCCTATCTGATGCAAAGTGTTTATGAAAAACCTACAGTTAACAACATACTAACTATGAAATTCTCAGTGCTCTCCACCCTAAAATTACAATGAAAGTGAAGATGTAAGCTCTTAGTACTTCTACTAAACATTGTATTGGAGGTTCAAGAGAGTAAAATCAGGTAGGAATAAAAATTAAAATGCACCTAATTTGGAAGACAAAAAGTATAACTGTCTTTATTTGCAGATTACATAATCCTGTGTATGTAAAATCTTAGGTAATTTACCAAAATACTTGTTTAAACAAATGAATGAATTCAGCTAAGTCACATGATACACAATTGCAAAAATGAATTTCATTTCTATATACTAGCAATAGAAAATACAAAAATAAAATTAAGAAAAGATTTTCATTCACAATAGCATAAAAATAAATTCTTAGGCATACATTAAGAGTACAAGATATAGACAAACAACAAACGATTTCTGAGAAAAATGCAAAAAACCTAAATAAATGGTGAGATATTCCATGTGAATGAGTTGAAAAATGGTGTTGTTAAGACAGCGATTCTCCTTTCTTCTAGGGGTCCCCAGTACTACCCCTTGGTTCAGTAAATGAGTAGGGAGACACATCACTGAACATAGAGTGTATTTATCACTATAATTTATTACAGAAAAGGATATAAAGGAAAATTAGCACATAAAAAAGGCTCATGGGTCCAGTATGAAGGAAAGTAGTCATAGGTTTCCAAGGGTCATTTCCCAGTAGACTTAACCAAGGTGCACTTAATTCCTCCAACACTGAATTATGACAACATGTGT